ATAGATATAAAATCGTTCTTGAACTCATGTTTTTCATTTATTTTTGGCTAAATATGTATTTTCAAATACTGATGAAACCCTGCAATTGTAGTGTGTACCAGTGAGTAGAAAACCAATTCACTGGTTTAGTTTATGACATAGCCTGGGGCTTTGTCAATTTAGACCAACTTGAAGGTAGCCAGGTCAACTTGACTGTAACTCGAAGGGTCCCATTGCAATGGATTTATTTTAATAATATATTTGATAAATTTAGTAATTATGATAAGATTATGTGGTAAATTTGTGGAAAGTAGATTGCGTGATAATCTTTAAACGTTAGTCGTGAAGAGACTATTTATCTTTGTATTAAATTTTTGTTAGGTTACTTGAGAAAAATTATTCAATTTTTTTCTAACATCTTACTAAGTTTGCTAAATTTTTGTTGAAATTGTGTTGACATGCATACCATTTTTCTCTCTTTATTAAACTTTTGTTGGGTTATTTGAGTAAAAATAATAATTTTTTATTTAAATATTCTGTTTTTGCCTATTGGCCTGTCAACTCATGACCTATTATTTTTATTGGTTCAATTATTAGTTTGGTTTTTAGTTCTTTGATATTGACACACAAATGGTGAAGCTAGATCTCTGAGCTAGGGGTGCAATATAATTCAGTTTAAAAATTAATAATTTTTTAAAATAATAATTTGATGATTTAAAGTTACAATTACACTAAAACTAAAATCCCAATAGGATAAATAAATTGATCATCATTTTTATTTTAAAAAAATTATATTAAATAGGTTGATATAATCTTTCATGTAAATGTATTATTCATGTTTTATTTGAATCATTGAAATAAAATATTATATATTTAATAAGTTTTTCAATCTAAACATTTTTTATTTAATTGGTGTAAAATATCAATAATAGGGTATTTTATACCCCTGTAATTTCTCCAAAATGAGGGGTGGATTCGTATCTCTTACGATTGGGTGACGATCCGAACAAAAATTCTAGAGAGCGAGATCAAGATTCAATTTGCAGTCCTTGATATGGCGACCGGGGTAGGTGGCTACGAGTAATGCATTTATGATAATAGGCGAGTCCAATTGCCAAAATGCCCTTTGTTTGAGGAAGTTGAAGAACAAGAGCAAGAATGGATCCCAAAATAAAAAGCTTGGCCCTTCATCCTGTTGAAACCTATCGGTGACAACATGTGGTGAAGTCAAGGGGGAGAGAGGAAGCCATGGGCCTCATGACTTTTTAATTTTTTTAAATAAAATGTAAGAATTATATATTTTTGACTTTTTAAAATGATACATTATATAAGTTTTAAAATACTGAATGAGATTCTCATCTCAATGTTATATGCAATCTTTTACACATGTATAACACAATTATTTTAGTAAATTGAGGATATAATTGCCATGGTATCTACTTATTTTCAAAAGTATAATACTACATATATTCTTGAAGCATTAATGTCATTTGATTTTGTTTTCATTTTATATTTAATGAAATAAATTATGAGAATTATTATCAACAAATTTTGTCAAGCATTGTAATAAAAATCTTAAGATATATTAAATGCTATTTGCTTGATATCCATCATAAAATTATTTTTTCAATAGTTAAAAGAATATAGTTAAGATGTTCTTTTAGGAATTAATACTCCTTTTTTTTTTTGCAATAACTGAGCTATTAAATTTTATGATGTGAGTGATTTTTATTTTCATATAGTTCGATCTCATCAATATAAAAATTTTGTGACAATTGAATATCACTATCATATTGATATACTTATTTGCCATGATTATTAATTGAAAGAATTAAATAGTAAATTTATTAATTAAGTAGTAAAGTTTTTTAGATTGAACAAGACTTTAAATCTTAAGGATATATTTAAATCATTCAATTTTTGGATAAAATTTTCATCAATTTAATAATATATTTAAATTATTAAATTGATCTGCATAGGGTGGCATTAACCTTGCTTGTAGTAAATTATGTGTGCAATATATACATGCTTTCACACGATAATATTTGATGTAAAATTGATGAACTTTTATTACGGTGAATTCTCTTAAAAAGGTCTTAAATGTCATCCTCCCGCACAATTTAATTTTTTTGAAATCATGATTCCTAGAAAGTTTTATCATGTTATTCTCAGCGTGGGTAACCCTAAGCAAACTACAGGCACTTTGCTAGTCTAGTTGAAATATGCCCCCCTCATTTTTTGATCCTGCACCTGCTCGCTTATCGAAGTTGAGAGAAATATAATTAAATACTAAAAGTTTTGAGATATTTGGGAGAGGACTCATGAGAGAGATGTGAGAGGAAGGAGAGAGGTGAAAAGATGCCAAATGTTAAATTGAAGAGAGAGGCTGTCATCCCAACTCATCTCCATCTTAGGAGATGTTTTTATATTTTTAGGGAAAATTGCCATATTTTGAAGAGATGTTTTAGTTTTTGTTGATTCTGGTTTTGGCTAGTTTGTGTGTGTGTGTGTGTGCAGGTCTTCGCTTGTTTTATTTGTTCTGGTATATTTCCGTTAATGATTTAGCTTTCCTTTGCTGGGAAACAAAAAGAAGAAGAAGAGATGTTTGAAGTATATTGTTAATACTTTCTCGTTTAAAAATATAAAGTATTTTTTAAAAAGTTAAATATTAAAAAATGTAAGAAATTTTTAATCTTTTAAGATGTAATCATTATCTTTTTTTTTCAAAAATCCCTCAAGTGATGGTGACTTTATATTTATTGTAGGGTATTTAATAAAAATAAATATAAAAAGATAGGGTTAGTTTGAAAGTAGATAACTACTTTATTGATGGGTAAAATTTAATTAAAAATACCTTACATTTTTTAATGGAGGGAGTATTATTTAATGTTTATTTTGGGTGAAACATTTAGTTTTTATATTTTTAACCAAATAATGTATGCATGCATTTGTTTAAATGATAATTTTAAATTTATAATTTTTTAATCTAATAAATATACTAAATATTAACATTTATTTTAATATTTTTAAAATAAAATACATTATTTTTTCTCTATTTTAAAAATCAAAAAATATACAACATATTTTTTATTTTTAAATTTTTATTTATATTCATTTAATAATTAATTGATAGTTGTTGAAATAAAATATCATTCTTGATATATCAATATATATAATAAAATACCATTACATGATTTTTTTAAAATATAAAAATTGTATTATTTTTTTACATTCTGTTTAAATTTTTAAAATTTACAAATGTAAGCCCCACACTCACAATTTCAATGACAGGTCTCACACTCATTTTTTATCATGTTCCACACTATATATATGTATGTATGTATGTATGTATGTATGTTTTAACAAAATTATTTACTAGCTAATTTTTTTAAAAATTAAAAAAGAGAGGAGAAAAGCACTGTTCAAAGAACTGTAGATATACAGTGCTTTGAACGTGCTTTACAATATATATTGATATTGATGATTTTTGAAATTAACTATATTACCCTCACAGACTACATACGCGGCTATGTTATTTATGACTATAATATTTATTGTTTAAAAAAATTTGCCCCAACTGGCTGCATGCCTTAGATTCGGCACGAGGCCGTTAGTTTAGCGTTCACACTAGACATGTAACCAACACGTCTCCTATCTTATATCACACTTGAAATGATATAAGAAGCATTGACTATTATTAGTAATTGATCCATCAACGTCAAGGTTCGCCCATTCAAGGTCAGGTGCATTCAATGCATTTTATTTCGCGTGGGAGAAATACAACGACAATATCCACGGTTTAATCCAATGATATTATTTTCTTTCAAGCAATCAAGAAAACCCACATCCAATTTTTAACGGACACGTGTGCTGATTAACATAGCGTTCGATTCAATGGAAGAAAAGGGCGAGAAATATGGATATTTTGATATATCTCTTTGATTAGAGCTGGCAGCTTCATGGGCCAACTCGGATATGTTAGGCTTGAAAATAATATAGTTTAAGTTGCCGGTCAAAATAATATTATTTTATTTTATTTACACTGAACAGGTTAAATATGTTATTAATAATAATTTTGGTTATATGGCACTAGATTGAAAACATTTATTCGCCAGTGATGAAATTTAAATTCTATACTATACATCAAAATTTAAAATCATTTTATTCGTAAACATTAAATTTAAATAATAATTTTATAAAAAGGTCAAGGTAAAAGTGTCTCGTTCATGAACCTCCATGACCTCACGTAATGACATTCTTTAAAAGAAAAATCACAATCAAGATACTATAACAATAATAATTATAAATTTTAAATAAAATTTTAATAATAAATCATGATCCTTAATTGTAATTAAAAATGTGAATAGTTAGTTGAAAAATCTATTAACTATATTTAAGATTATTTTTAACGTCGGCTAAAATTTATGAGAGTCAGTTGAATAAATAAGCCACTTGAAAAATTGAATAATTACGTTTAAAATTATTTATAATATTAGTTATAAATTTATGAGAGTAAGTTATGAATTGTAAACTAATCACTTATAATTTTTTTGCTGTAAATATATAGATAAGTTACTTAAAAAATCTATTAAATATACAAGAGATTATTTATAATGTTAGTGAGAATTTAATTGAATTAGTTAAAAATTACAAGTTAATTACTTATAATTCTTTGCCATTACTTAAAAAATTTTAAAAATAATTGAGAATCTTTATAATGTTAGTTGAAAATTTATTAAAATTTACTGTGAATCTCAAGTCAATAAAAAAAAAAAGATGATTTACTGCAAGTATTGACTATAATTTGTAACTGGATTTCAATAATTTAGCATTTGTAGTTTTCAGCAATATTCTTATGGCTGTCTAATTATAATTTTCCCCTGTTCAAAATAATGTTTAGGGATTACGCTGTCAATGAATATATTTATAAAAAAATCTTGCCTTTCTTTTTGGTAAAAATATCTTCCTGAAAAAACTTCAGGGTTCTGCCCAGAGACACGAATCCAAACAAAAAGGATTAACTAAACTACCATTGGGTAACCCAACTACTGGGCAACTAGCCCCGCTCTTGTGTTCGATGTTCAGTTATGTTGTGTAGTTTCGAACGAAATCGGTAGATTCATAGCAAGTCCAGAGCCCAAAATCGTGGGTCATGTCGTGATCTTTCGGAATTGAAAGCTCATTGAAGAGAGTCAGCACCTATCATGTTCTGCTGCAACACATTCATTGGTTCCTCTCCCAAGCTGCACCTTGTCCAACGAGTCAAACCTATCAGACCCTTCTCTGGTTTGCTTTTCATAGTCAAACCCAACCTCTCTTCCCTCACCTTCCGTTTCGGCATTCCCTTGCCCACAGCCCCCACCAAGCTTTCTCGTCGGATTTCGACTCCCCCGTCGCCGGCCACCATGCTGCACGGCAACCCCGTCCTCTCTGACGTATACGCCACCGCTATTTCCACCTGTGTCGCTTTTTCCTTGATCAGGTTATGGCAAGAAACCGCGAAGCGTGGAATTTTCGATCAGGTCTGATTTTTCCCCTCATCTCTCGACCTATAATTCGCGATTAAACTTGTACGTAGGTACTTAGCTGACTGTATAGTCCTTGATACTCCCTTTAAGTAGTTCTGCTTGGGTACTTAGTAGACTGTATAGTTCTTTATGTTCCCTTTTTGAGTAGCTGATTAAAAAGGGAAGATAAAGAACCGAAGTGACCTTTAGTCTGTAGAATTTAGATCTTCGAAATTGTGGATGGATAAATTAGTTAATTAATTAAAACGGTCCCTAAAGACTCGGTAAAATTTCAGAAAATTTAAATCGAAAAAATTCAGAATTTCTCCTGGATTTCATTCCTCGACAAAGATATCAGAAATGGTGGAGGTGGCTCTCATGTTCGTGTCGATGCATAATGTGACACGGGTAAAATCTGTCAAGAAGAAAGTCAATTGCATGGTCGCTATCCAATCAAGGCTAATTCCCCTTATTTCTTAATGCCTATCTTGTTCATATCTGCAGTCTTCTCATCGGTTATAATTTGTGTTTAGAAATTGAATAGGAAACTTGTGCATATAAGCATTGGACTGGCATTCATACTTTGCTGGCCACTATTCAGGTAATTTTATGTATATTGAGCATATTAAAATTTCAAAGCTCCACTTTGCCTTTTCGAATTACCTTTCTTCTACCGTTACAGTTCCTGGAGTCAGGCACCACTTTTTGCCGCTCTTATTCCAGGAGTCAATATAATTCGGATGCTTCTCATTGGACTTGGTATACAGAAAGACGAGGCCACAGTGAAATCAATGAGCAGATTTGGAGATTACAGGTTGTAATGCTGTACGCATTAATGCCAGTGAGACTATAAATATTTAAAACTTGTAATAAGTAGCCTTGTTACCGTAAAATCCATCCAGAAGAATCTCTTGCTTTCAAGTTATCAAGCTGGTTAATTCAGACCTGACAGGAATGGATATAATGACATTTTTGGCCATTTCTTATATCATTTCTCCTGTTATATCAAAAAGAATTAATAGGTTATGATTTTTATTGGCGGCTGAGTTACACTTTTGGCTTGTGAGTTCTCTTTAATCTGTACTTGAAAAGAATGAAAATAATGTTTGTTGATTTGCAATTCCATAGATTGAGTATTGATTTCATGTCTTGATCTATTCATTTCTCCGTTTTTTATCTGTACCAGGGAGCTTCTGAAGGGACCGTTGTATTATGTCTCAACTATTACTTTTGCCTGTGTGATGTACTGGAGAACTTCCCCTTTATCCATTGCTCTAATATGCAATCTGTGTGCAGGAGATGGTACTTTCGCTAGAGCCAATTATATTTTGTGTCCTCATGATTGCATCTTGGCAATGTTTTAGCTGCACTGTGAACTTTTTAAAAAGGAAAAAGAAAGCAATGCAAAGAGGGGGATTTCTTCTTAATATCTGGGAGGAGCAGACCAGACATTCTTCTTCTTCAATTCTATAAAATGACATTGCCTAGCATAATTCTTAATATTTTATTCAGGTATGGCTGACATTGTTGGGAGGCGATTTGGCAGTACGAAGATACCTTACAACAGAAACAAGTCCTTGGCTGGTTCGATTGCAATGGCAGCTTCTGGATTCTTAGCATCTATTGGGTAACTTTAGCAGACATATGTTGCTCTATTTACTTTGTCCTCAACTGAAAAACCTGCTTGATCGGTCCCCATATTGATAGAGGTTTTGACAGGTATATGTACTATTTTTCCTCATTCGGATATATTGAGCAGAGCTGGAGAATGATTCTAGGTTTTCTGATTGTCTCTATCGCCACCACAGTGGTTGAGTCCCTTCCCATTAGCTCGGAGCTTGATGACAACCTCACTGTTCCTCTCACTTCCATATTGGTGGGAAGCATGATCTTCTGATTCATAGCATGCTGTAGTGGTAGAGTTAGATAATCCTAGGCACCAGTCCTCTACATATTTAAACCTAGTTAGATGTCATGTGGTAGTCTCTGCATTATTTAGTAGTTTGTCTTGTCTAGATACAACTGGAACTAGGTTGGTGTTTGTCTGTGATTCCACAATCAGTAATATCATCTGGATAAGGCCATTGCAGCCTACTGTCCCATAGTGATTCGGTTCACCACCCCCGCTTCCTTCACTTTCTGAGTACCAAGACACTTCTGATATTAAAGAAATTGAGAAGCAAAGAGAGACTTCGTTTTTTATATGCTCTAAGTATTACAAGAATGCTTATTTTCCAACATATAAATCTTTCTCAGACTTTTATAAGTATAGTCCTATTTTTTTGAAAAATCATGACGTCTAATATCACTGCCTGCCTTGTGCATCCTCAAAATTTTGAAGTGTTATAAGTATTACAAGTCCTTCTTGCCATATGTTGACACAGTTCTTGCTGTCTTAAACTAGATTACCAAAACTTACTGTTGTTAAAATGAAGAAAAACTAGAGAGTGAAATGTTACCCCTCCCCAAAATTTTTACTTTCAACAGCATTATGCTTCAGGAAGTCTCGACAACTAGTTGATCAGTTGAATCTCTTAGCTCAGGTTTACAAAATTTTACACCAAGTATCACTTTACCTTTTGTTTTCGTGTTAATAATAAATTTTGTCTTATGCTGCTGCGGATTTCGATCAAGAACTTTAAAAGGTAAATGTAAAGAAGATATGTAAACTTCAGAGGTAATAATGCTATTAACAGGATAACATACAATAATTTTAACATGCAAGCATACGAAGAATGCTGAGAATTAATGGATCTATTACCAAGGTAATAGTACTAATACAAGAATAGATTACAGAATACAGAAATTTCTGCAGGCTCAGGATCAACAACTTAACACGAAGGAAAATGTAAATATGATTTGTAGATTGAATCACAAGAATGATGTGTTTGTAACAGTGATAGCTCACATTCCAATGAAATCCAATGAAAGAAAAGAAGGGTCTTTTCACTAACTTTTGGCTAACCCACTTTGAAACCTTATGAACATTGTTGGTTCCAAAGACGCTCTAAAAATGAGCATTGATAATGTGCTTGCATTGCAGGGGCTAAAAGGTAAATATACCATGACGACGTGATATTTTGTGTTGTTGAGTGCCCTAGCGGCACTTGTTCCTTGTTGGGGTTTTTGACACTGACATGCGAGACAAAGTAACGATAACCACAAATTATTGATACAGGTTAAATATAGCCGACAGGGAAAACCTGAAAGCCCTGCAAATCTATTCTAATCTACGGCTCCTGAGTTATCCACCATGAATCTCAATCAGTAGAACCACAGAAGCACTTCCTACTATGGGAACTTTCTGCTAATAACTTCACTGTTAGATATCATCAAACCGGGTGGGGTCTGAGTGAGAATACCATCACCTCTCTGTGTTGAAGGAGTGCTGCATTCTGCTACTGCAACATTAGAATCTTCATCATCACGACGTCCTTCTGCTTCAGAACCTGTGGCAGCAGAAGAAGCAGCACGCTTCAAGCATGGAATCGTGAGGATGAACAGAATGAAGAGGAAGAAGACGGAGACGACAGTGAGCAGCGTGATTAGGCCATGAAGAGCGAAGTGTTTGTCATGAGAGAACTGAATCTCGTCCCCTTGTTGCTGATGCTGAGGACTGAGAGAGGAAGGAGACATAGCAGAGCTGAGAGTAATGGTGGCGCCATTAATTCGGAGCCTTGTTCATATATATGTTGAGTTCTTCAAGTTTGAAACATTGACTTTTCTGGATCGGTCTCTTTTTGCTTCCTAACTTTCCTTTTGCGTGTGACGTCTCCTGTACACAGAACTTTCGCTTAGTTGGCAAGTAAAAGATGAAATGCCTTTTTGTCCATTCTTGCCTTGGTTTAGTTTTTAACCATTTTATCCAAAAAGAAAAAAAATCTTGGGATTCAATAAAATTTAAAGGACATTCCACATGATTAAGATAGTATAAAACATTTATAAAATATATTAATTGAATCATATGTTTTTTTTTTACCATTAGCTGAATCATATTTCTCTTAATTAATAATATTCCTAAAAGTTTGATAAATGATAGAGTACAATGGCGTTTTGTAATCCATATAACCGACCCCACCTAGTGAGATAAAAGCTTGTTGTTGTTGTTGTAGCTGAATCATACTTAAAATTCAAATCTTTCCTGCAGTCAAATCACATGTTACAATATAATTACTTTTAATAAAAAAGATATATGTGTAATAGAATTCTTATGATTGTTTTGGTTTCTATTTTTATTTTATTTTTAAGTGTACTGATTAAAAAAATTGTTTGATTAAGTGTGTTGGTTTTAATTGTTTTTAAAATAGTTTTCATTTTATTTTTTTATTTTCAAAATACGTAAAATTTGGTTAATAAAAATTACAATTACTTTAACCAATTATTGTCATAAAATATCACTATTAATCACTGGTGGCTGTCATTATTAGTTGATTTTTTAATTCAATTTTTTTAAATTAATATAATTAAACATATTTTCTCTTTATTTCCTTTAAAACAATTTTAAAAACTATATAGCAGTGTAATTTTTAAAAATAAAAAATAGAAACATAAACAAACATATTCTTAACATTTAAGTTTGTCTTAGTTATTAATGCAGTTTCATCAGTTTGTTATATTTAAGTTTGTCTCGATTGTTAATTTGAGTCTTATTATTTAAAGAAAAAGGTAACATTATTATAATTGATTAATATAAATAATGAAATATTGATGATAGCCATATAAATTAATAAAAAATGCAAATATTTAGACAAAAAAGTGTTCTTGCCAACAAAGTACATAGTAGAATGTTATAGCTAATAAAAAAAATATGTGTTTTATAAAAAATATGTAATATGTGAAATTTATCTTTGTTTCATAAACTTCTTTTGATTTTTTTAATGTTTTGTCTCTATATTCTTTATCGAATTCGAAGATAATTTATATATTATTTATTAAAGCTGAGAGGGAGTATCCAATCTAGATCAAACATGTTGTAACCGTTGCGCAGTCGCTTTAGCTGGAACGGAAGAGGACGAGGCTTGGCATCCCCATTTTGTTTTTTCTACTGTCTCATTTTGTCGTTTCCGAGTCTTGCAATATCTTTTTTATCGTTACATATAAAGATAATTAATTTTAAAAAATTAATTTAAAAATAGTTTCTATTATATGTAAAACAAAGTCAAAGAATTGTGTATATTTTTAAGTGGAATTTTCAAAACAAGGAAAATAAATGAATTCATTTAAAATACATTAGATTTTTTTTACTGACATTATAAAATTTTTACTGTAACTTGCTTTGTTTATTTTGCATGAATCAAGTGATTAAGTTTGTGTGTGCTTTTAATTATTTTTTAAATAGAGAAAAATTGATTTATATTCGATAAATTATGATTTGACCTACTAACAAGAGCTAAATCAAACAAAGAAAGGGACTCAAATATCTCTCAAGTAAGAGTTTGGATTTCAATTTCCTTGAATGGAAAGAAAATCATGATATAATGTTGCTTAAATTTAAATTAATTAATATTATTGAATACTAAATGGTTATCACACTCGCAATTTACAGGTGCACCCTTCCAACTGTTACACAATGTTTAGCATCCATGAAAACTCGGTGGCTTTTTGTCTCGACAATTACTTGCCAACTGCCTAATTTACATCCATGGATTTCACCCCTATTTTTAACCCAAAAATATATACTAAAGATTGAGTTGTTTGATTTCATCTGATTAACTCACTGTTTTAATGAGTTAATTGAGCTAAATTAGAGTAAGATTTTTATGAGTGATCATGTGTCTGCATTTGGTGCTCATCGTAATGATGAGCACCGCGTGCTCATCAAGGTCAAGAACAATCCTGGCCCTTCATTTCAACCTTATTTAATCCTTGCCATTCATTTAAATTAATTTTTAAATATTTTTAATGTTATATTTATTAAAATAAAAAATATAAAAAATTTTAATATTAAATATGGACTATTTAAAATACATTTAAATGGTTAATTTGTAAAATTTATAAATTTTTAATATTAAATTAAGTCATCTAAATTATATCTAAACTGTACAGAGTCTATCTATATAATCAAATTGTAAAAGTATAATTTTTTAATATTAAATTAGACTGTTAGATTAAATCTTTACTGACTAAATTGATAATAAATAGATATATTAAAATTTTATTTTTTTTTTTACTTTTTTATATTAATAAATGAAATATTAAAAATATTTAAAAAATTAATTTAAATAAACGACAAGGATTAAACAAGACTGAAATAGAAGGCCAGGATTTCTCCTAGCCTGATGAACACGCGGTGCTCATCACAAACGATGAGCATCGAATGTAATTTCAAATTATCATAATTCTAATGACTCAAAAATAGAAATCCTGTTCCTAATTTTTAATGGGTGCCAAGGTGCATCCTTTAAAGCGAATTTGAAGCAATGGGTGCATTAAAATCTATTTGGGGCAGAAAGTAGAATCATACCAGATTGGAATGTGGAATTCTCATACCAGATTGGAATGTGGAATTCTCTCTTAATTGTTCGCAAATTTGGCAAAGACACAACCTTTGAATCTTTGAAGGTAAGATTGGAATGGGCGCTTCTATGAAGTTAAACATGATGAAACAAAAAACTTCATTGGAAAGCGTGAAACTGATAGGATGTACTATGTTTTCAACAAAAATAGTTTGGTGTGTTTCTCTTTTTGACTGGGTTCTTATTAATGTAGACAAAGCTTTTTCTATTGTATTAAATGGGAGAGGTTGTGGATGGGTAATCCAAAATAACTCTGGATTGTAACTCGTTGGATTTATGCATGGAGATATAGATATAAATAACTTGAAGATTGAGTTTTGGGCTATTCTATTTGGTCTGAAAAAGCTTGGGACTTAGGATATTGAAGAATAATAGTGGAGAGTAATTCTCTTGAGATAGTGCGTTTGATCCGATAGAACTATAGCCCTCTCCATCAACATACCAAATTTATTAAAGAAATCCATCGAACTTTGTCGAGAGATTAGAATATCACTATTTGACATATAAGTGTGTGTTTGGATAGGGAAAAAAAATTAATTTTCCCCTCCCAAAATCAATTTTTCCAGTAGATTAGTCAAACGGTTAGAAAAAGATGAAAATTGATTCTGAGCCTATATGCACATTTTCCCGTCGTAAGCTACTTGATCAACTTTCTGATAAAAGTTTGTCAAAAATATTGAGATAAATTATAAAGACAGGCCCAAAAAAAAAATTACAAAGAAAGCACATAATTTAATAAAAATAAAATAAAACTCTCTTCTTTTTCCTTTTTTTTTCTTAATAAAATTTAAACTTTGTATATTTAAAAAATTAATATTTGATATTTAAAAATTAAATTATATAGTAATTTATATAGCTAAAAATTAATTAATTAAATTATTCAAATATCTTCAATTCTGTTAAAATCAATTTTAGAAAAACAGTATCTAAACAGATTACGTTATAACATAATTAATTATGATTAAAATCTACCATTTAATTAATTATTTTCATAATCTATTATACCCAACTGAAATATAAACGGATCCTAAATCGGGAAGGAGATACAATAGCTGATCATTTTGCAAAGTTCGCATTGAGTAACTGGCTTGGGTTTCATAATATTTTTACTCCTTATGATAGTTTAGACTTAATGCTTGTTGATTTTAATAATCTCAATTAGCCTTACGCTGGCTGTGCCGTTTGGCATCAAAAAAAGAAAAATGGAATCCTCTTCCTAGTATTAATGCTTAGTAGCGCATACGTTGAAACATGTGGTACCAATTGTGTTTTTTTTTTGGACGGAAACAAAGATGCAGTGCTATTTAAGATACATCAATATAATGAAGGTGATTGGTTATAAATATCTTCTCTCTCATTAGTCAATATATTTTTGGTATAATATTAGTTATTCTCTCTCATTGGCCCATTAATTTTTGTATAATCAATTTAATTTTATTCTAATGTTAATATTACTATTTCATTGGTTGATGTGATTGAATGTTTTTTCTCATTGGTTAGCATAATTCAATTTATTTTTTTATTTATTTTAAATGATTTTTATCTTTTCACTGGATGGGAGCATTAAATTAAATTAATAATTAATTAATTAATTAATTAAATCTAAATCTTGTAGGATGAAGGTGATTGGTCACAAATCTCTTATCTCCAATTAGTAGATATACTTTGGTATAATATTAATTATCCTCTCCAATTGATCTAGTAATTTTTATATGATCAATTTAATTTTAGTCTAACATTAATATAAATATTATTATTTCATTGGTTGACGTGATTAAATATTTTTTTTAATTGATTGATAGAATTTAATTTATTTTTTTTACTTTTTATGGGATGAGAGTATTAAATTCTATTTCAAATTTTTCCTAAGTCATCTATCATGAGAGAATTAACTATCTTGTTTTCCATGCTCTTGAGTCTCATTAGAGAGTTTTTGTTCCCAATACAAAAATATTTTTGTGTTTCTCAATTTCATATGTCCTAATCGATGATTAATCAGCTATTCTCTTGAATGAATTTGTTGTCGATGGCGGAGAGTTGGTTAGTCAGGTTGGAGAAGTTTTGCGCCTCTTTCCGTCAATATATATCTACAAATCTTGTAGAATGAAAGTGGTTGATCACAAATCTCTTCTCTCTCGTTGATCAACATACTTTGGTATAATATTAATTATTCTCTCCTATTGATTCATTAATTTTTGTATAATTAATTTAATTTTAGTCTAATATTAATATTATTATTTCATTAGTTGATGCGATTGAATGTTTTTTCTCATTGGTTAGCATAATTTAATTTAATTTTTATTTTTTAATTGATTTTTATCTTTTCATGGGACAGGAGCATTAAATTAAATTAATAAATAAATATTTTAAATATCTAAATCTTGTAGGATGAAGGTGATTAGTCACAAATCTCCTCTCTTCCATTAGTTAACATTCTTTGATATAATATATTAATTATCCTTTTTAATTGGTCCAGTAATTTTTGCATGATAAATTTAATTTTAGTCTAATATTAATATAAATATTACTATTTCATTGTTGACATGATCAAATATTTTTCCTAATTGATTGATAGAATTTAATTCATTTTTTATTTATTTTAATTGATTTTTTTACAGGATAGGAGTATTAAATTCTATTTCAAAATTTTTTCAAGTCATCTATCACGAGAGTGTTAACTATATTATTTATCATACTTGCGAGTCTCTCTAGAGAGTTTTTTTCCCAATATAGAAATATCTTTATGTATTTCAATCTGCCTTAATCAATCATTGATCAGCTATTCTCTTAAATGGGTTTGTTGCTGATGGTGGAGAGTTAGGTGGTCAGGGTAAAGGAGTTTCATGTGTCTTTTTGGCCAATGTCAGGGAGAGGAATCTCATAGCTTTAATCTGACTTGTTAAAAAAAATTGACTCTCATTGCATTGGTTAATAGATTTTAGGCTAATGTTAATATGAAAATTTTTCTTAATTCATCAATGAGATTTAATTTATTTTTTTATTTTTTATATATTTTTAGTCTACTTTCATGGAAGCATTGATTTAAAAATAGTTTCATTTTTAAATTTTTATGATCATTAACATTAACTCCATTCGACTATCTTTTTCCATTTGTTGTAGTATCTCATGCCTTTTTGATTTTTCTAATCAATGGGATTTAATTTATTTTTTTATTTTTTATGTATTTTCAATGTACTTTCACAAGAGCATTGATTCAAGAGTAATCCCATTTTAAATTTCCTTGATTGTTAGTATTAACTCAATCTGGCTATCCTTCTGCAGTGACTATACCTTTCCATGCCTTTTCAATTTTCTTAATCAATAAGATTTAATTTTTTTTCCTATTTTTCATATATTTTGTTGATTTGTTATACTCAATGCTAATCAACTCTCATCAACTATTATCCATAAACATTATCTTAAAAAAAAGAAAATAAAAAGAAGTTTAAGTTTGATTTAGATCATCAATTCTTATTTCATGGTCTTGGCCCTTCAAACCATGCATATTTCACCATACATGCTTCACTATACATTTTGCATTGATAAGATAATGCAATGACTCTTTGTCTTTTCACATAAAAAAACCGAGGCAGAAACAATTTAGCAAACAATACATATTTAATTCTTTCACCATACATACAAAAAAAAAAATACATATCTCCTTCTTGATGAAGAAGAAATAAGAGTATGTTTTCTTATGCATTCTAAGCACAAATCCATTTTCTTCCTTCTAACCTTTTAATATGTATAATATTTCTAAAAGGTTTAATAATTTAAAATATTAGCAGTAAATTTAAAATTTAGTCAAAGACAAGTTATGTACAAATGCAATATCTAAGAAAAAAAATGATTGAATACAGGAATAACTTTTAAAAATTTAGCCATATTAAGTGTGTCAATATCAATTACATCAATGATATTTGTTTTGAATTTTTTAATTTTAACCCGTGCAATACACGAAAAATTATCTGGTTATTTATAAATAAACGTAATGATCCATGCGTCAAACTTCGTTTAAATTTAATATAATTTTACTTAATAAATAGGTCAAGAGTTATGAATATATCATTGAAATTTTTTTTTTTTACATTTTGGGCCAATCCTGTTACTGCATATCAGGCCCAGCCAAGCTAATCCCCGATACAAGGATGCCCATTAAAGATGTTTGTGTGGGTGGTGTAGATTCTCACCCAGCGTCCGTGTACATATCATTGATATTTTGTTCGGCGGTGATTTCTCTTCTAAAAAAAATGAGAACAATTTATTCGTTTATTGTTATTTTCTTAATAAAATATAATTAATCTCATGCTTTTGTTATGAATCTCAAAGTGAAAAGCACTAATTACTCCCCATATTTTTTTATAGTGAAAAAAGTGTACATCTTAAAGTTTGCTTTCGTGAATTGTGATTATGGATAGAAGGTTTTCAATTAGCTTTGAGAAAATAATGTAATTTATATATCTGTAAAAAAATAGGGGCCAGCTAATTTTGCCAATCTTTAGTAGGTTGGCTGCAAAATTCTTACCCACAAGAAAGTGTGTGGGTTTGTAATTTTGTATGACCTTCATAAGCATCCTTGGGTGGGATTAGTTGTCATCCCCACCTTTACAATATCAAGTCATGTTTTATAAATCTCATCTCTTATATGTAGTAATTTAGTTAAGAAATATCTACTAATTGCTTTCAATACTTCAGGAAAAATATTATTTGTTATTGGTAGAGTTTACTCTTTATTTTAAAAAAAATGTATGAACAATTTTACCTTGAGCTATAGAAAATCTGACTATTTTGCCCTTTTTAATCTAAAATCTTTTTATGTTTATTTTTTAAAAATAAAGTAATGCCATATATATATATATATATTTAGATGGAATTTTTAAAAAATATATTAGTATAAAATAGCGCCATTTATAAGAAAGATTAACTTGGGTAGTTATGAGATATATTCATATTATTTGATTACGGCACGGCTCGGCATGCTGATTCCATTTCATTTTTTATTAGTATTAGTTCGTACTTTCATATCACTTTTTAATGTAAAAAAAAGGAAAACAAAAACCATTACTTCTTCCTCAATGCCAAATATATTTTTAGACCAAAAATCATCGTTTTATGGAAGTGTTTCTCTGGCTGTTATCATTTCCCTCTGGCTGTTATCATCGTTTTATCTTGCCAAACGTAATCATAGATATTTTTCCCATACGTCGCCGTTTTCCTGGAATTTGGTGAAGGCTACAACCAGCGATACGTTCATCCGTTTTACTGTTTTCCTCGTAATCAATAACCAAATTCTGCTTGTGAAAGTCGTAACCCCAAGATGCAGTCTTGAGCAGAAGTGGTATTTTTCTATTTTGAATCATAGTACGATCATTACCTCTTCAACCTATCCTCGAGCGTTTTACACAGAAGCCCAGTGAGAAAGGCGTAAAATTTTACCTGATCCCTAACGCACATCGGTTTCTTTTTTCTCCCAGTTCCGATCTAGCATTCATTTTTTCAATTCTTGATTCTCTTTTCAGTCTTCGAATCCTTCATTACACAATTAATCTTTGTTTTGAATCTTGTCTCTCTCCTGAATTTCCCGTAACTTGCAAATTTGTAGCTTGTAGCTGGCGCTGGTTCGCAAACTTCTCGTGATCTTTACCGTTAATGAGTCCCGGGTATTCTGGAAATGCTTTACTGCACCTTAAATTTATGACTCTGCGGCGGCGGCCAGAGTTTATTTTGAAATGAAAATGAATAGTTTTTGCCAGTTCCGTGCACCCCATTGAAGAATTATGGCTCCCCCCCCCCAACCAAATAAATCTGCTGCAGTTTGATCAAAACATTTTTTATTCTCTGTTCATTATAATGTTAAACTGGATATCGGAAAGATACCTCGTATGTAACTGGAATGAGACCTATATTGTAGTTTGCTTGGTCGGGCGGGTTAAAAATAGGGATTGTGAGTTCTTTGTATAAGTTGGGTTGTGCTTCTGAATAGAAATTCATATGAAACTGGAAGTTGTTAGATGGTCATCCTAATTTCATGTATTTAGACGAGAGAAAAGGCAGGGAAGTTGGCTGATAAAGGAGACAGACCTGACAAAAATGTTAACCATATTCCTTTCTTTCTTGTTGTTAAGCATTCATTCCTATTTTATGGTCAAGCTTTTCTTTATTGCCGATTCCGTGATTCATTTCTATTAGAAGTGATTTATGTAGATATTTATGTTATTGCCTTAGTTTTGTGTTTTGCTAGCTATACATTATCATGTTCTTTATTAAAATATCATTTGCAATTGAATAATAATATTAAGGAGAATGACGATTATGAACATCCTAAGAAGTTTAATAATAAATCAAGATTTTTTTTTTAAAGATTTTCAATGCTGAAACATAAAAGGATGAGTACTGAATTTGAAAACTGAAGTTATTATGAGATTCTGATTTGAGATTAATTTTTTTATGAGGTCTTTAGTTGTTAATCTCCCATAATATTATTGTGCTTTATATCTGACTTTCACCAGTCGTGGTTGTCAATTAGGGGCCAAGAATTATCGTTGGTCAAAGGCTCATGTCACTTCCTAATGAAGAGAACACATCACATTCTCAGGTTTGCTCCTCAATTTTGAATTGACAACATGTTTCTGCGTTTGGGGCAGTAGTTTAGAAAATGAGATTCCAATGCAAGTTTCTGCTTTTGAACATATTTCACATGCTGACTAACTTTTGTTGTGTATCATTTTACCGAAACTCTCAGTATCAAGTTAAAATTCTGGATTTTGCTGATGTGTCATAATGAGAATCCACTTTGGCTGAAATCATTAGTAGGATTTATTGCTATTGTCAGTTGCCAATATATATTTATGAATGTATGATTTATTTTTATTTTTGTTTCCATGAATCAACTTAACTGTTGAATTGGTGAGACATAAAATACCTGAATAACGGCTCCTTTCCCTTAAGCTCGATTGTGGAGGGAGAGATCATAGTTTCAAAACGCAACTGGCCATGGGTTGCACGAGTTAGCAACAATCTGATGGAGAAATAAAAGAACTCAATTCATCAGACTGTTTCTCAATATGTTCCGTGGGTTATGGCTTTAACTGTTACAGGGTGGTAAAGTTAGGCTATTGTGGATACAATCTGCTTAATATGCTGCCATTGTGAAATATATCTGTTAAATTTCCCTTCTTTAATGAAGGCTATAAGGAGGAAGTTGATCATTGCAGCTGTTATATTTATAAGCCTTCAATCATCCTTGAAATCACTTCTGGCACTGTTTAGACTTTCCTAGCTTATCCTTGGCTTGTCTGGTGTTGGTGGTATTAGTCTTCAGTGACATTCTATATTTACTATTTGTAGTAGTCCTTGATGAGGAGGAGCATCAAATTTTTCATATGTATGCAATTCAAGCCCCAGTCTGAGCATCCAATCACTGTACATGAAACATTATTGTCCAATGGTATTGTACCTTTGAGGAGACCATGGAAGGCACTTGTGAGGAGAGTGAAACAGATAACTTTGAGCCCTGTCAAGAAGAAGAAAGGAAGGTCAAAGAGAATACTTTTAAAAGTTGTTAATCAAAACCTTTTAATTAACAATATTTTTAAAAGCTTAATAAATGATAGAGTACAATGATGTTGTATAATTCATGTAGCTGACTCCAGTTAATGGGATAAGGCTTGTTGTTGTTGTTGTTGGTATTGTACCTTTGGTATTTCTCTGGTGAAATGGGGTTAAGTGATGCTTGAAGTTGGAGGCCCTGAACTGGCAGGCGTAGGCAGCAGCAGTTAGGTGGAATAAATGAAGACTCCCGCACTCACTACTCTTGCTTTTTCCTCACGAGCTTAAACAAATGATTAATGGCACTTGATGGCATTCTGGCTTTCTTGTTGCGTAGCATAATAATTCTAATATTCAAATTCCTAGAGTAATTGGTCTTGTGTGGGTGGACAGAAACTTCACAAATATTCAAATTCATCTGAAACTTGTACCTTTTATGCTTACTTGCACGTGTGAAATTTCTTGCAGCTCGCATCCCGATTTTTCTGGGATATCCTAGATTCCATCATTGTTGATGTGGCATCTGAGTGTCACAGAATAGCAAGGCTGGGTCTTGATCGTAATATAGAGGAAGAGGAAGATGAATTGAAGTTGTCAGCACAAGCCAGGGCGAGGGTTGCTGATTCCAGTAATAATAACGAAATAAATGGCAAGTATGTGGTTGACATATTTGGACAAACCCATCCTCCAGTCGCCAGTGAAATATTTGAGTGCATGAATTGTGGTCGGGCAATCGCTGCTGGGAGATTTGCTCCTCATCTGGAGAAATGCATGGGAAAGGTATCCTGCTCCCTTACACTTGAATACGGTATTCATTTATTAATTGAATTATGAGTTTCATATCATATGTTATCTGTATCAGCATTTTGACGTTCTCTCTGTATTTTTTGCCGTCATTGATTTCTTTTTTATCTTCATCTCAGGGCAGGAAGGCTCGTCCAAAAGTAACAAGAAGTAGCACAGCACAGAACCGACATTCACGGGGCAATCAAGCTCCGACATATTCTCCATACTCGAGTTCCTCTAGCACGAACCGGCTAGCGAATGGAAACTCTGGTGTTGCGGGTGAGGAGCACTCAAACGGGACGTCTGAGCCATGAAACATAGAAACATAGCAGTACAATGGTTAGCAGTTAACGCCATAGCTCATGGTTGCAATCAATGCACAGCTTGGTCTCTTGAGGCTTTACTAGAAGCCTGAACCTGTTTTGTTGGGCGTTATAGTCATGGTTTGTTGGAGAAGAATTTTTCTGACATTTGGGACCCTGAGAGTGAGAATCGTACATGTCCATCATGATGCCCAACTTTACATTGACTGAAAATCCGCATTTGTAAGAGAAAAATACTTCAAAAGAATGAAATTTGACAGCCAAGGATTAATTCCCCTTGATACAAAGTCATTGGAGCTTATTATCTGGAATGAAATCATGCTTTCGGTTTCAAAGCTTCACTTTTGAGTTCTATTCTCTTCGCAGTTTAAATGGGCAAGCACGATTTATTATTTGCACATTCAAGCGCTCTAGCGTTCATAGAGATTCCCCACTTATAATTTTGCCATTGTTTTTCATCCTAAAAGGAGCAGCAAAGGGGCTGGAAAAAATATGAAAAGAATTGCATTTAGGACCCCAGTTTAAAATTCTTTTATGTAGTTTAAAAATTATCAAAGAAAAAAATAAAGAAAAACTCGCTACAAGTTTAAGGACAACCATGATAGTATAGTAGAGGTGTAAAATACAGAAAGGGATAAAGATTCAGGGGGAGATAATTGTGGGTTCGTCTCCGACTTCCAGCAGCGAACTCACGCACTTCGTAATACTTGAGGGGCTCCGAAGTCAATATTTTTGAGAAAAAGAAAAACGTTCCGTTGCCGGGAATCGAACCCGGGTCTTTCGGGTGAGAGCCGAATATCCTACCGACTAGACTACAACGGACCGTTGGTCTTTTCTCTGTTATCTAAATAATTATAATATAACAAAAGCCAACAAAAAGCATCCCCATATTGGAAGACAAAACTTTTACGTTCAATTGCTCTCATATCTCGCTTTATCTTCCGCCATGGTTCCACTATCTGTAATGGAGAGAAACAAACACACCAAGATCGCAATGATCTAGCCGAGTCCTCAGTGTGAGAGCGACTCCTTAACTAGGCCTATAAGGGCATGACTTTGACAATAATAGCATTCCCCTCATCAACTTGCCAGGTTTGCATTTGCAAAACTAAAAAAAAACTTATATTGTATAACTGTAGTCCGCAGTTAATATTACTTTTTATATAGTATTGATATTCTCTTTTATATCGTATTAATTCATTTTTTTAAAAAAAATTCTCTCGAAAACTTATATCATGGAAAGTGCTCATTTATAGCAAAATTCTTATAAACAATAATTGACGTGTTTTGTTTTTATATATAACTGATTTACTGGCTGTTATTATGAACTTTAATTTATAGTGGCTTTTCCTTTTCTTTTCCTAAAAACGACATGACCAAATAAAAGGCCCTCTCTTTGTTTTGGGACAAGTACCATTTTGCATGACCTACGTGTCTTTGGTTTTTACGCCCAAAGTCAAATCCCTTTCATCAAGTTTCCAGTTTCCACACCTTTACCTGATTTTTCTAAATGTGCACAAGTATTATCATCATATTATTGTTTGATGTATCCAATATCATCGAGTCCCGTTCACTTATTGTCAGACTTCAACGAGGCAGTTTTTTTTAAAGGTGTTTTATACATTCACAGAAATTTTAAAACTAAAACGTTGTGTTTATGTAGTGATAACTCGATCATTTTTTTTTTAATGAAAAAAGTTTTCATGAATTGGGTTCCACAAGAGTTGACTAGGATTAGGGCTTAAAAAAACAATTATAGAAATATTCACAAATTGACTATTAATAAAGCTCTCACATTAACAGTGAGATTTAATTTCACAACATTTTGTATTATAAGTTAAATTTTTATAAACTGAATTAATCTTTATTGATAATTCAATCATTTTTTTTATTGTGTGTTATTATTTTTTGAAAAAATATAATTTTTGGTTCTTGATTTTTTTTATTAATTTAATTTTCAAATTTTGATCCGGAATAACTCAATCTCTATAATTTTTAACTCGATAAGTTACAAGGACTAGGTTAGACTTATCAATAAAGTTTTGGGACTAAATCAATACGTGAAATAAAATTTAAAGACTAAAAGTTATATAATCTCTCTCTCTCTCTCTGTTTTTTTAATCAGAGTTGTCTACGTTCATCATTGTTTCAAATATATTCACATTTAACATCAAGATTCAAGATTAAGAGCAGTGCCACCCCAAACTACATTTGGCCAGATGACCATATATCCGGCCAGACATGCTTTGTCAATCATAAAATTGAATACTGCTTGGTTGATTCAAAGCATGTCCGGAGTAAATAGAAAAAAATTTTAAGCACTTAGATTCAACTTCAAACAACTCTTGCTAAAAAAACTGATTATGTAATTTTAGTTTAAACAGATAAAAAACGAATCACCCATATATAAATATAGAAATGTATCTACAATTTTTTTTAAAAAAATATTTGAAGCAGTTACTCATGATTTATTTACGACTTTTCCTACAATTTTTCAGCAAATCTAATGCATCGTCACTAAATTAAGTGGGAACCAATCCCGAGCCATGGAGAGCAAAGGCAGATCGCTAGACGCCAACTAGTAACAATGGCACGTTATATCATCACACAATTGAAATGTGTAAAAATGATTGAAGATTGCTAATTATATTATTTTGTAGTACAGTGACATGTAAACTCTGTTGTATGTGAAAGGTTGTAAGTTTAATTTCGTTTATAATTTCAAGCTAGCAGTGCTTGTCTCCCTAATTTTAAAAAAGATTAAAAATATACCCCTTTTGTCTTAATCTATAAGGTATTTCTTGAAAAAGTTATACATCTAAATGAAGTTTATTAATACAGTTTACAATTTTAATTTTTCTATAAACTTTTAAAAATATCATTCATTAATAAAAAGAAAATCAAATTTATTTAAAAAGTAAAAGAATGAGAAGTAATATTGAATTAATTATTATTAATAATTTTTTAAAAAATATTTTATATTTTAAGACACTAGTTCACTTCTAGAGATGGCTTCATGAAATGGGTAGAGGGGAATAATTTGAAATTTTTATGACAAATCTGTTTACTGAGTATGATCCATAAACATGTCGGACAAGGAAGGAATGGAGGTAGGCACGTCTATTTTTGGGAAAAGAAAAATATTCAAAGTATAGTTAGCATTCTCTGCGTTCCAACTTATAAAATATTTTTAAATAAAATTATGTATATCAATAAAATTTATTAAATATATTCAAAAAAAAATTTCAGACAAAAATATAAACATTTAAAAATGTCTTTCATTTAATATTTTATTTGTAAAGTATTAAAAAAAGAAAATATGGTGTAAATAATAATATTATAAAATCATATTTAATAAAACTTATTTTTATTAAAATGTTTTATATTTTTGAATACTAAGACTTTCTCAAAAATATCTTATAATTTGAGATGAAGAGAGTATAAAAAAAATAAAAACATATAAATTATTGGGCAATGTACTTATCCTTTTTAAAGGTGGCATGATACGCAACGTGTGAATATACTTGCGCGATGAATTGCGAACGAGTGCATATAGTCCAACAATATAATGGTACCATTATGAAAAAGGTCATGTATGACTGGAAAAATAAAGTGAGTGGCGTGTTATGATGGAGGACAACACAAAGGATGCAGAGGGGGAAAAAACACCACCAAGGCTTGACTTGATTAGTAAGGGGGGTTATGTTAGTTGATTAGATATCTCAAATTTAAATTTTGAAATATAACTGCATTGAATACTTGATAATTGAGTTCGTCACCTGAAAAAATCATACACGGTTTAATCCGAATTAGCTTGGATTTTTTTTTGGTAGTAAAATTAGATTGGATTACAATACATTTTCTATTCAAAATCAAATAGGCCCAGTATAACGGGTGTACACTAAAAAAAAAAAAGGGTAAAGAAACCAAAATAGTCCACATTGGTGCACATGGTCATTCGGGATCGCTTCTCCGTTTCTAGTGGACATTCACATGCTGATCCCCCAACTTTACCTTTGCACTTGGAGTTTTGCCTATCACCCCTCTTCCTTTTTTTACATAATTTACCTTAAATAAGAATTACTCCCTCATGTCCTACACATAGAAGTCCCCTTTTTATGGTCCTTAATACAAAACTTTTTATAAACTTTAATTAAATATTCATAACTCTTTTAAACATGACTCTCCCTTTCACTTTTATTTTTTATGGTTGGTTTTTCAAGGTATATATCCCTACAGGGACTAACTATGAGACTAATTTTTCAAGATATCTAAGCATCATTTAAGAGATTGTTATCTTCAAGCAACGCTCTTCATGCACACTTCTAGAAATCAAATTCTAAAATGATGTCCAAGGAACCCAGGCTGTTACTACCTGTGCCATACCTACTTAATCTTTCACTTTTAATTTAAATAACAACTCTTATTTTTTAGTTTGTTTAAGGGTTAATTCTAAAAAAAGTATTTAACTAATTTTAATTTTTTTAATTTATATCTTTATGATTTATAAGGATTATAGTGTCCCTGATCTGATGGTTAAGCATTTGATCAATTCATGACTTAAACCAATTCTATAATGTGTGGGAATACTTAACTAATTTTGATTGTTTTTTAATTTATATGAAATAATTAACATGTCTTGTATGATTATAAGGATGTTGGGATAACAAGTATAGTGTCTGATTTGATGGTCAAGTATTTGATCAATTCGTGACTCGGGCCAATCATGTAATGTGCAAGAACTTCTAAAATTAATTGTGTGTGTGCTTCTTCTTCTTCTTCTTCTTCTTCTTCTTCTTCTTGACTTCAAGTCTCAATTTGTGAGTGTCATTGTTATACAAGGGTTGTATTAATAATAATAAAAATTAATCTTTTAATTCTTTAAGTTTTAACTTAATTATGACTAAGTTTTTTAACCATGACTTACTATAATTCAATATTTTAATTTTTAAGCAGGTTAAACTTAGTTCTTCATCTTTCAATTGTTTTAAAAAATTAATTATTATCATCTTTGACTCATCTTGAGTCATCAACTAGTTATCTTACTAGCTACATTCATCAAACTTGGACTATTAACAATGAGAAGCATCCAATCCAAATACACGGTAGCATCAACTCCCATGCTTGCCTACAAATAGGCTTCAAACAAGAGTTTATGAGATTTGAATCTAGAGATTGGCAAAGAGATGAGAGTCGCGATGGGCGATGTTAGCTTGGGTTGCTTAGTTTTAATCAAAGTGCAAACTTTGATGTGGCGCTAATATTTTGCTGATTCAAATATGTATTTGCCATGTTTGACAACTTAGTTGTGATCGAGCTTTGATTTATGGATGATAAAGATAAACTTGTTAGATGGAGAAAACATCAAGGATTGAGTTTTATCAAAGTTAAAAGTTTAAAAATTAAGTTATATCGAGCAGATTAAATTATAATTAAGTGAAAACTTAAAAAATTAAAAAATTAATTTTTTCCTTATAATATTACATGTATTGTTTCAATTTTATTGGATACTCCCATTATTAGAAAAAAGATATCCCACATCTAGTAATTAAAAAGTGTATTAAGAATACATAAAGTTTGAATCATATTTAATCAAGTGACTTAAACTATATTGATAAATTAAACAATCCTTGGGCACACTTAAACAAAAAAGAAATTCTTCTCGAGACCTCCACTAATGTCTCTAGACTTTTTAATATTGCCGTCAGCCACTGTATCTTGGTTCAAGATTTTTACCTTGACTCCCTAGTCCCCTTTGAAGCACACGAGTTGCAGGCTATTAGATGGGCTTCCCTGTCTCTTAAGATTAATTAATACATATGCAAGTATCGTTCATGGAACCTTTTAATTTCCCTCCTCGACTTTCAAAGTTGTTATCTATTGATCAATTTCAATTTTTTGAATACAAGACCACTGAAAAATATTTGTGCAAAAAGACAACCGATTAGGTCATGTCATAATACAAAAGATTCCTATATCCAAGCAATGGAATATCAAAAGTCTTAATATCTAGACTACCATGCATCGTTTGGTGAGTAAGCCAATCAGTGCATTAATTTGTTTCTTCACACCAATCAATTTCAATTAGACGTGAGGAAATGTTATTATAGGGTCACTCGTTCCAAAATTTCTAATGTGGCTTAATTAATTTTTATGTAGGATTAGGATTTTTTATTAATATATATATATATATATTGAATCATTGATCAATTGTTACTTTTCAATATTCACTAATTAAAAGACAAGGAGCTTAATTAATTTAATTACAAGTTATGGTGAGTTTAGGAAGCTAACCTTTTCACCCTTTATAAAGCTAAACCCTTTCACTTTCTTTATTACACAACAAGTGCGTGTGATGTGACTATACACACACGGACTAATTTTTCTTGAAGTCCCTTTAACGCTGAAGGTATATTTATAATGACTCTTAGTCCATATTAGTAGTCATGCACTCAGGCATGAAGTCAATGAATCTTGTCATAAATTAATTCACAAAAAGATTAATTGGCTAGGCTAAACATAACCTGGAATATTTGAGCTTTCGCTTTCGAATCTTCTCATAAACACATCATAATTGAAATATTGAACACTTCAACAGAGTTTGGAGTAACCTCATCTAAAAAATTTAAATGGGATATGCCCCTTATGATTCTAAATATAAAGTATATTTTCTATCAGTTACTTCCTGATCCGTTCAATATTGCTAGATATTTTTAACCACATGTTCCTTAATATATTAGTTAATTATCTTTATCCACATTTAATAAGGTGCTTTATTTAGAAAACTTTATTAATTATATCCTTAATTAAGTGTTTTTTTGAAAACTCATTAATTGTATCTTGAAAGACTCAAAATGTTTTATATTTTTAGTAAAGATAATTATATTAATATAAAATGTAGGACACTTTGAAAAAAGTAAATAACATTAGATTCTTCTTGTTTACAAGTATATGATTATTAATTATATTGTTGAGAGAGATTATATAAGACTGCAAGAAATTAAAGGTAATAAAGATAAATTGATTTTAATATGAGATTAATCTTAGAAGGAAGATATATATATATATATATATATATATTTTACCATGTTAATGATACAAATGATTTTAATATATTTTTCTTAATTCTTATGAAATAGTATGTCGGTGGATCCAGACATCATCCTCCAATCCCAGAAAGGCTAATTAAAGTTGATCATACTAGCAAATCCCCTGAAGGCCAACTCATTAAATTAATCCTTCAATCCTAATCACATTTAAGAAACTACTACTTCCTATCCTTTTTACAAGAATCTTTCGATGACACATCTTTTTGTCCAAGCTGTTTATAATCCTTATTTTCACCTACGTACAATATTCAGTTTCAATTCGTTGCTATTATATATGTAATATAATAATTTAGTTCTGAGTAATTTTACATTAATTAATGATTTATTGATCCTTAATTCCTTGTGCAAAACTAAATCATTAATTAATGTAAAATTACTCAGAACTAAAAATCCATCATTAAATACAATAGTTTAGAAAGACTTGAGCTATGAGCTGCAACCTATAATACTTTTCGTATATAATAACGTTATAAACATCAATATATATATATAATGTCAATCTCATATTACACAAACATTTCCCCTATTTTTTTAAGTAAGATTTTTTTAATTTTAAAAACATATAATCAGTTCCAATCTCTTAATTTCGTTCAGGATATTAAAAAATATTTTTTAAATTTAATTTATCAAACTATTTTCATGGCTGCAAGAATTTCACTTTGAAAAGAGAAAGAAAACCCATAGACTGATAAAGAGAAGACCAACGGCTCCTGTAAAATCAATGGTGGCGGAAGAAACGACAGCGACACAAAGCAAAGTGGTATAAATTAAACAACACAAGTTAGCAATAATTATTGATCCTAATAAAAAAAATTATCACCATTTAATCATGAAATTTTGAATTCAACTTATTATGAATGCAAAAATATGTTTTCGACAGAGCTACTTTTAATTAAACCTAACAATTAATGATCAAATCCAATACAGTCAGATATTTATGTAAAAAAATATAAGATTCTCGGGTTTATTTCTTTTCCTGCCAAGATTGCTTCTCATGTAGGACAAGTAGCACCGGCTGTTGAAAAAATTCACACACGCGGGGTCAACCCATGTGATTTCATATGCACATACACAAATAGTCGACCCATGTGATCTTACGTACCGATCTCGCTCTCTCTCTCACCTTTTTTTTTTTTTTTTAAATTTCAGATGGTGTGTTTAGGAACCTATTTTTTTTTTTTTTTAAATATCAGATGGTGTGTTTAGGAACCTAGTCCTGCAAGGCCACCGCTAATCTAGTCTATCTAAATTGACTTTTTTTGTTACGTTTCTTTTCCATATCATCTAAGCTGAAGTTTTCTTGGCCAATTGATCAATTCAATGTTATGATAACTTTTTTTTCTTTGGTAAAAATGTGATGATTACTTTGTGCAAGTGATAATTTAGTTGAAAGATTTACGGCTTTCGATATTTTGAGAGGAATTTTTCTGCTGTTGACAGAGGATACTTATGCCTCTCTAAGAAAGAATTGAATTTTTCCTCCCATTTTTTTTTTCAATTTATATAGTACTCTTAAGATTACCTTATTTCATATATATGGCGAAAAGTTTTAAACATGTGTTTAAAAGATTTTTTTTATCCTTTTTAAAGAAACTTAAATAAATAAGTTTAAATGAACATGATTCAAAATTAAAAATAATAAAATCAAAATTGACGATTCTATAATATAATAAAATTTTGGATAAAAATAATTTTTTATTTTTCTACTTTACTCGCGTTTTGCTTTTGATTTTTATACTTTTTTTTATGTTTTAGATCTCTACACTTTTATTTTTCATTATTTTTGATCCTTTTATGAGTAAGGTATAGGGACTTTAGAAGGATTTAAAATAATAAAAAATAAAAATATAGAGACTTAAAATATAAAAAAAATACAAAAATAAAAAATAAAATTTGAATAAAGTGTAAGAATTAAAAAATATATTTACCCTAAAACTTTTGAAAACATACGCACTAAATTAAATGTTTGCAAACATAAGTGTTTAAATATTTATTTATATTACACGGAAGAATTTTAGTCGAAACAAAAGTTTGATCGTGTCATCGTGTGATTTAATAATGGTCCACTACCAATTAGATGAATAGAAAGAAAATTTTAAAGATAAAAGGAAAATTTATGTTATTGCATAAGAAAAATTGCACTACAGGCCCTAAAATAGCACAAAATGTCACTTAAGATTCAATATATTTTGATATTACACCACAAGCTCAAGAGCTCTTGTTTCAAATTTTATTGGGATGAAAGTATAATTTTTTCCTTTTGTGATTTGAAAACTCAAATTATGTATGACACAATTTTTATGGATGCATAACATGATCTTTATGAATGTACAATTCGATATTCATAGATGTACAATATAATATCAACCATATTTATTTGCATATACAACACAATATTTATAAATGTACGACATAATATCTATAAATGTATAATACAATATTCATGAATGCATAACATGATATCTATAAATGTATAATACAATATTCATGAATTTTTAAGATAAGGTTCACATGTATTTACGCATGGACATTTCATTGAGAATGCATGAATATTGTATTGTTTGTTGTGTGTGTCACTTGTACATTTTATTAAACTTTTCGAACAATTAGACAAGCATGGAATTGTGTCGTGCATAATCTGAATTTTTAAATCACATGAGCGTAAAATTATACTTTTATTCTTAAAAAAATTATAACAAAAGCCTTTGGACTGGCAATGCAATTTTTGGCTCTTTTAAAGCCTGTACTGTGATTTTCCCTATCATATGCTAGCAATATGCATTTTAATTTGGAAAATAAAAGTATAAGTTCTTGAAATATTAAAAAAAGTGTAAAAATTTATAATAAAATTTGAGTAGAGTATGTATTTTTGTTTTTCCTTTTAATTTTAAGAGAGATCTATATAAATTTTTAAAATAAAAAATACATGGATAGTTGACGGATTTTGCTCGTGGGATCGGACATTGCTGGCCAAAAAAGAAAAAAGGGATAGGACAATGGTGGTCTCGCTCTCACACAAAACATTCCCAACGTCTTCGTCTCTCTCTCCCCACTCGCTCCCCCACAATTAACCCCCCCCCTTTTCCCGCCTGCCTTTTTCGGACTCGCTGCATATAAAACGATCATCATCATCGTGAACTCTTCGCCATTCCCTTGTTCTGTTACTTCCCAATGGTGGTTTAACTATCTTGCTCTCTGCATTTTCTGTACTTCTATCTTCAAGCTACATCACAATTATACATTAAACACCCATTTTCTTCAATCGCCTTCTTGATGGAGTTCATAATTCGAAACTATGATGGGAAATCTGACAAAGCTCAAGTGGAAGATATCGAGAGAAGATGCGCTGTAGGCCAAGCAGAAAGCGTGTTCCTCTTCACAGACACTATGGGTGACCCCATTTGCAGGATTCGAAACAGTCCCATGTACAACATGCTGGTATATCTGTGTACATTACCATCAACTCATGTCATATTTTCTTCTGTTTCCCTCGTCTTCTTCGGTTAATATATCATCATAGATGCTTCCTACCTGTTTGATGGCAGGTCGCAGAGATGGACAGCGAGTTAATTGGGGTCATTCAAGGCTCTATAAAAGTGGTTGCACTTCCAACCCACGACTTGGCCAAGGTGGGCTTCGTGTTGGGGCTGAGGGTGGTTCCAAATCATAGGCGAAAAGGGGTGGGATCGAGCCTAGTACGAAGGCTAGAAGAATGGTTCTGTTCTAACGACGTGGACTATGCATATATGGCCATAATGAAAGATAACCATGACTCTATCAGCCTCTTCATGGGCAGGTTTGGTTACACCAAGTTTAGAACTCCGTCTATCCTTGTAAATCCAGTGAACCATCATCCCTTGAGAATCTCATCCAACATTGAGATTGTCAGGCTCAAGGCTGAACAAGCTGAATCGCTTTACAGAAAGTTCATGGGATCTTGTGAGTTCTTTCCTCATGATATAGACTGTATACTTAGGAACAAGCTAAGTCTGGGGACCTGGGTTGCTTATTTTAAAGGAGATAGTTCATGGGATGATTTTGGAAATGATGGTCAAGTTCCTAGTAACTGGGCTATCCTTAGTGTTTGGAATAGTGGGAAAATCTTCAATCTTAGGTTAGGGAAAGCAACTTCTACTTGCTTGTTATGCAGAAAGAGTCAGAGTTTGATTGAAAAGGTGTTTCCATGCTTGAAATGGCCTACTTTTCCTGATTTCTTGAACCCATTTGGGTTTTACTTTATGTATGGATTGTGCCATGATGGGCCATTGTCTGGGAAGCTCGTGAGAGGGTTGTGCAAGTTTGTACACAACATGGCTGCAGAGTCTCATCAGGACAGTGAGAATATCAAGATTGTTGTGACTGAAGTTGGAGGGAGAGATAAGATCAAGCATCATATCCCACATCGGAAATTACTGTCTTGCCAGGAGGACTTGTGGTGCATAAAGGCCTTGAAGAATGAAGGAGCACACAAGTTTCATGAATTGACCAAAATCCCAGTAGCAAGAGCCCTTTTTGTAGACCCAAGGGAGGTCTAGATCTTAAAAGAATAATACTTTCCACTTAACTATCATTTATTTCTTATAAAATAGGTCCAGATATATAGTAATAGATAATTGCACAGTTTAGTGCTTGAAAAATATGCTAATTTAGATTCTACCTGTGTTTATTTCAATGAGCTATATATATATATATAAACAGTAAACTTCTCATCGTGTTTATTTCAAGAAAAAAAGGTGGGATACATGATATTTGTGAATGATGAATCCAGTCTCGTGGATTGTTACAAATGAAGGGCGATGCAATTTGAAGAGATTTCCATAACTAATAATGTTTGATGATTTTGACTAATCAGAGAGGCCAGTGGTCCCAAGTCCTAACGCTCGTCCCTCACACAACACATAATCAAATAGGAGAACACTTTTTTGACAGGGTGAAGGTACACTTTTTTCTCTTTGATGGTTTTTTAAAACAATACTTCCTCCAATTTTATTTATAAATTATTTTTATTAATTTTATTAATATTAATACAATAAAAATATAAAAAATAAAAATAAGTGACATTTTAAATATAACTCTCAAATAAAAAATAAAAAAAGTTTATATTTTATTTTTTTATTTTTTTCTTTTACTTTTTAAAGATAATTTAAAAATTTTAATTTAAAACAAAATAATTTCATCAACAAATGACTTATAAAGTGATCAAATTATATTTTTAAAAAGTAACTTATATACTGGACTGGAGGAGTATCCAGTATTCTAATATTTTTATTAGAATAATTTTATTTTTAAAATAATTAAAATAGAGTATTTTTATTCTTTTGTCAAATTCTTTAACGGTCAATATTTGAGTCACAGTTAATATTTTTAATGATTAATGTTGAAAATTCAATGAAAATGACAAAAATAATTTAGTTTAATTACTTTAAAATAAAATTGCTTTAATAAAAAATATTAGGATAACGGTGACACCTAAGAGAAAATGTTAGGAACAAAAATGTACCATTACCTTTTTCAATAATGTACATACTAGGATCCTCCTTGATGATATTGCATACGATAAAGCAGAACGAGTACCTGGAATCTGATCTCTCTCCTGCTTTATTAATTTGCCCTGCCCCATTGTCCCTGCTCCTAACTAGCTACATGAACCACCTTCCACGAGCAATCCTCATTTCTTAAACATGCCGTAGCTCCTCGTGGTTGGGTTTTGACTTTTGACTATCTATGCCACAGTCTGAAACTTAAATTAATAATTAGGGTGTTGCTAATAATTCTATACTGCAGGTTCTCATCTGCGTCCTGGTACGTAGCTTAATTATGAAGAATTGGACTTCGATTAAGGTATATATTTGCCTGATGAAAGCTGCTTCAGTTTTGGCCTGCATGCACCTTCATTTTGACGATGAGGATTCTGTTGGAATTTAGTGTGTGAATACAAAATAAAGCAATTCATTGAATGGAATTTGATAGAGACACGTGAATCTAATATTTTAAGGGATTGGATAGTGATAAATTCATCTAGATGTCCGATATGTTTGTGACTGTAATTTGTGGTGTGAATTTAATTATGTGATGGCTTTTGTCAGTTCAGAGATATGGTTATTCTCTCTTAAAATTTTGTTCAAAAATAAAATATCATATTAGGAGAGTTATTTTTCATTTGAGTTCAACAATAATCAAATTTGTATCAGCTGACAGTATAAAAATTAACAATTAGTTCGTCAAAAAAAAAAAGTAATTAGTTCGCAACAAGAGGGGACCGAAATAGGCCTTGAGTGCAGATTTCACTTCACCGGCTCAGTTCCTTCAAATGATATAATAATGGGCCCTTTGTTCAAATCCTAATGAACCACATATTCCTTAATTTACTTTTTCGGCCCACTATAAGGGAATCCACGAGCCCTCACTTTTGTATCCTGTTTCCCCCTTCATGCATCATTCTTACATCTGATCTCAACCAATCCTCTCTCTCTGTGTTTCACTCTCTCTCTCCCCTCCCTCTTTTTCTGAAATCACGAATCAAAACCTGATTGACCATTTCTGATTCATAACTTGTAATAAGAAAGTAAATATATTATTTTTTAGCAAGTGAAGAAAGAGTCCTTAAAAAATGGGCAAAGGGAGAGGGATTCACAATTTCCTTGCAAGGTGACAAAGGAGTCACGGGAAGAGGAAGGGAAAGAAGAGAAGCAGCAGCATGAGAAAGAGGGAAAAGGGAAGCAAGCAAGCAAGAAGTTAAAAGAGAAATTAAACAAATCAGGATTTGCAATATGTGGAGTCATGATTCTTGTCCTCAAGTCTCAGAGCAGCATTCAATATGCAAGAGTGAGAAACCAATCCCTGCATTTAATACCCTCAATCACACGTCAATTTTTATATCCCCACTCTCCCACCTCCACCTTTGACCGCCACTCCACAACATTGACCTCTCTTCGTCCAAAATATGTGCGCGCGCGCGCGCACACATGAAAGTTGTATTAAACAAATCAATAAACCAACCCATAAAAGTTAATTATTTAATTAAAAATATAATAACATTTTAATTTTATCTCTAATTATTATAAATAAAAAATAAATTTTTATTTTTAAAGTAAATTAATAAAATTATTTATCTTTTTTCTTTTTAATTTAATAAGAATATAATAATTTATTTATTAAAAAATATGTTAATAATATTTTATATTTAAAAAATGTTTTAAATTTTTTTTATATATAAGGACAGAAGGAATATATATATATATATATATATATCCCATTCTTTTGTCCCCAATGCCTTCACCACATAAATTCAATATATCCACAAATTATTCTAGGACCCAATACTATCTTCTCGCTTGAGATCCCCTCTGTTTTCCGGTTCAAGGGGTTACTTTCAACTTGGTTGTTTTCTTAGGAGAGGCCACCCATACCTCATCTGTCTCGGGACGTTACATCAGTGTTCTCTTGTTACTGTTTATAAATAGTTCTTCACACTCCGCACTGAACCATTCAATTGAGACACGCACGCCAGGATGGGCATGCGTGAAAGTGGATCCTCCACTATTTGGAACGTTTACTTGCAAAATCAGGTCTCATTGGCATAGTTTCAGGTCAGATGAGAATTTCTTACTCACAGGCTTGTTTCTTTTGGACTACTTTTTTTTCCATGAAAGGAACGATTCAAGCTAAGAATTTGGACTTCAGAACAATCAATTGCTGTTAAAAGTGTCATGTGTCATGACAGATAATAATAGTAACCACACCAGTATGTAGCAGCACTAGCATCTAAATGACTAGTTCGTTTTGTCTTTTATTGGGTTTCAGGCAGCTATTATTATCTCTTATCATACTTTCTAAAAGGAGGCTTAGTCACACAGTAAACTTGGAAATCATGCGTGCTGCTGATGCAGTAAATTTTGATGCTAAAAGAGATTGATACATGAAGCAGTGGAGCCAGGTGGTATAGATTTAATGCTATGCAATAAGATTTAAGAAAAGCCAGGACCAGCCAACTCAGAACCAATATGAAAAGGGCCCAGGCCAGACAGCAGTTAGAATTGACCATTGCTTATGTCATTTAGATTTCGAACGAGATGTATCAATTTCTCCTGCATTTTGTTTGAGTATGAGGGTATATGAATTCTTAGGCAACTGATAAAATCTAAAACATCAGAAAATTGATATCTTGAAAGATCAATATCATATACCAAGAAGCAAAATACAACCACAGTAATCTGTACAGAAGCAGCTAGGTGCTCATGTGTTTAACTCACTGGCATTGGAAGAAGGAAAAACTTTACTGAGCATCCTCTTCAAAGAACAACCCAACACTGAGGATGAAGTTTCTGATACAGAAATAACCGAGTCACTTGCCCCACCATTATCATTATCATTATTAGTACTACTCTCAGTCCCACGGTCATTCTCGCTGATCTCAGAACCGGCAGAATCGATCACAATCTCAAGCACAGCAGAGGAATCATCCTCAGGAATAGAACCCGATTGAGAGTCATGCTCCACGATCGGAGCCCTGCAGATTGGGCAATTCGAATGCGAACTCAACCACATATCGATACACTCCACATGAAAAGCATGGCCACACTTGGGCAAGCTCCTGCCGGTTTCTCCATTTCTAAAGACGCCCAAGCAAATCACGCATTCCAACTCTCGGTCATCACTCTCCTTCACCGTCTCTGCTTCGTAGACGAATACAGGAATCGCGGCAATGGACTCGGAATCCAGCCTTTTGGTGGGGGGATTGGAAATGGGGGAGTCTTGAAGATTGAAGCTGCGGAAATGGTGAAAGCGGGCGGGACCGATAACGTCGGAGACGGTGACGGAGGCTGGGCGACGCCTGCGGCGGCGGCGGCGGGCTTGGGGCTGGGCATGAGCGTGGGCTAGGAACCATTTGGCGTAGAGATGGAGTAGGAGGACGAAGAGGATGACGAGGAGGAGGGAAATGATGGCGGCGAGCATGATGTTGCTGTTGTCGGAGAAGATGCTCTGAAGCATTTGGGCCAGAGGGTTGGTGGGTGAGTCAGCAGACTGAGTAGAGGTGGACATTGACGAAGAAGACGAAGAAGAAGAAGAAGAGAGTGAAGGAGGAAGAAGGAAGTCAAAGGAGGAACGCAGAAACCAAGGAGGGATGCATGGGAAGAGGAAGGAGAAAGGGAAGGCCAGAATTGAAGGACTCGTGAAGGCGACGGCAACACTATGGGGTGGTTGGCTTGCTTTCTTTTATTTTTTATTCGTTTAATTTCAGACACACACCCCCCCGCTTATATTATAGACATGGTAGGGGCGGGATCCCTAGGCAAGATGACATGTTTGATGTTTCAATTCCAATGCCTCATAAATCATGCAAATACTACAATACAAAAGTAACCACATATTCTGGTCAAAAAAATGAAAAAGGGTCACCAGATATTCCGTTATCCTCTTTGTTTTTGGCCAACCACAATTATTCCGGAATTATAGATTAATCACATTCAATAATATAATTAAGAATTAAATTTAAGAAAAAATTAATTTTTTAATCCTTCAACTTTTAACTCAATCCCTCAACTATGACTCGCTGCAACTCAGTCCTTCAACTATAACTCGCTGCAATTCAGTCCCTTAATTTTTGATTTACCTATAACTCGGTCCTTATTTTTTAATTTTTTTAAATTTTTTTATCAAATAAGAGGGGTAAAAAAATGCTCATATATTATTTTAAAATACCCCCTTCTTATTTATTAATGTGAGATAGAAGTTAACATGAAAAAAAATTAACAAAAGTTAAGAGACTAATTTGTAAGTGATTCAAAAATTGAGGGACTGAGTCATAGGCGAGTTATAGTTGAGGGACTGAGTCACAGTGAGTCATAGTTGAGGAACTGAGTTACAAGTGATTTAAAAGTTGGAGGACTAAAAGATTAATTTTTTCTAAATTTAATAAAAAGAGCTAATTTTGTATAATATAATGAATTAAAATTCAAATCTCTATTAACAAATATGCTCATATAATGAGCGTGTCTCAAATAAAATTAATTTTAATAAGAAGATACATGTATACAATAAAAAATATATTTAATAATTTTAAAAATTGAACATCAGTATTAATATCTATATAAAATTTATAGAAAGTTGTGTCTTTTAAGGAAGTATACGTGCAATTTATTTTTCAGAGTTTTGTAACTTGTAACTAAGGCACTGAAGTTAATTTGAGAAAATACACGCTTTTCAGTCGTAATTACGAGATAAAGTTACAGCCTGTTTGGATAGCGTTTTAATTGATTGTTTGAAGCAAAAATTTGATTTTTGCCAAAACTATCCAAACACTCATTCGTCCAGAAAATCAATTTTTACCAAAAAAAACTATTTTTTTCAAAACTCTTAGACTCAGCTTTTGCGTTCAAATTATCTAACAAATATAAAAAAATTATAAGAAAGGCTCAAGAAAAAATTATACAAAAAACACAAAATTTAATAAAATTAAAAAATTATGATAATTTATACAGCCATACAGTTAAAATTAATTCTAAATAAATTATTTAAATATTTTTAATTTTATTAAAATTAATTTTAAAAAAACAGTATCTAAACAGATTGTGTTATAACATAATTAATTATGATTAAAATTTATCACTTAATTAATTATTTTTATAATCTATTATACTCAACTGAAATTCAAATAGACACTTAGTTAATTTTATGAAGTTTAACGTGTGGTAGTTAATACCTTACTTATAAAAAATGTGGATTTTTAATTTTACCCTCCACTAAAATTAATACGAGAGGGGAGACTCATAATTATTTTTAATTCAATCTCTATTTCTTACAGGTAAATAAAAAAAATTTCTATTTCTAGTGATACATATATATATTCTCACTAATCCTTATTATAAGGTACTTTATAAAATATTAAAAATAAAGAGCCACACATCTAATGATTAAAAATAAAAATAAAAATATATAAAATTTAAAATATATCTAATTAGATGACTGGCTATTTTGATAAAATAAACTACGATCAATCATACTTATTTTCTACACTCTTGTATAGTTGATTGCGTCTTATAATAGCCACCAGGAGAGTGTGTGTGAGTGTGTGTGCGTGTAACTGACAGATGTTATGATTTCAAGGGAACGACGACTCTGACTCTGATAATTAATCTTTGTATCAAGTACGGGTTAGATCCGTGATCACCCTATTTGTTTCTTCTTGGAAACGCCGTTCATGCATGCAACCAGATTCTCGAAGAAATTCTCTCCACTTTACCTTAAAATAATCACCATTAGAATCCAAAGCCAAACTTATTATTAGTACACATTACCTGTCATACTTGCATCACTGTGTGTTATGAGGTAGGGTCAATTTTCACGGATAGAGTCGATCTAGGAAAGACATGACCACTCGTAAAATTTATCAATATAAAATACCAACAAGAAAATAAAATTTATAATAAGCTGCATTTTTAGTAAAAAAAAAAATTATAATAAGCTATACTCATTTTTTTATTACCTGTGCATCTAATAATAAAAAAATAAAATTACAAATTTTAAAAAAAATTATTATATTTTTAAATTATTTCTCATAAAGTTAATGTTTATTTTTATTGGACAAAATTATTTTATTAATTACAAGGATAATTTAGTTAAAAAATTTTAATTTTAAATATAACTATTATACTTAACTAATGTTTTTAAGTTGTGTGAATTGTTTATTTGATAAGAGAGAGAATATGTCCGTCCTAAATTGTAAAATAATTTGAAATGAAATTATGCATATTAATAAAGTTTAATAATGATACTTTACAAGCTTATTTTTAAACAAAACTATAAATTTTAAAAAATGCCACTACACATTTACTTCTTTTATTTTTATATATAAGAGATTTTTTATAATTTTTTTATCTTTATATAAGAGGTTGTTAGCATATTTTTTAATAAATGAACCATTACATTCTTATTGGCTAAAAAAAAAACTATTACATTCTTATTAAATGAAAAATAAAAAAAGAGAAGTATTCTTATTAATTTATTTTAAAAATATATATTCCTTTTTAATTTATAATAATTAGCGACAAAATTAGAATGTTTCTCTGCTTTTAATAAGATAATCAATTTTTATTGGTTTATGTGATTTGGTTAAAATTATCTTATATGTAGGGACGGAGGGAGTATTATAATATCATTTTGATTTTCTCCACATGAGGGATAATATTGAAAAAATAGCATTAATAAAAATTTAATTTTTTAAAAATTATTTTATATTTTAAGATAATAAAATACCTTTAAAGATGTGTTATAATTTGAAATGGGGAGAGTATAAAGAATGCATTTATTTTAGTGAAATTTTGGTATAGATATATTGTGAGGGTTATTGGAGGGCGAAAGGGGGAAGCAACGGAAACCATAGGCGTTGGAAGAAGATAATGCGGGAGGGGTCCCAATGTGAAGAGCAGCAGTCAAGCAGAAGCTCATGATTCTGTTTGTTGCCCATACAGCCTCCATCTCTTCACACTTGAATCTGTGGAATCCATTATTAGGCATTCAGTTGTGTATATACTCACTCAGCTTCTATTTATAGGGTATAAAGAAAAAAAAATTAAGTATTATTTATAAGTTATTTTATTAAATTTTTATTATAAATTTTTTTATTTGGCCTCCATTGAATATTGTAAATAGAAAATATGTTGCTAAAGTATATATATTTAATAGGGATAAAGTTAAAAAATTATTAAATTTTTATATAAATTTAACAAGTTTAATTTTTTTTTAATTCTGGTGAAATATGTTGGAAATACCTTATAAATAGCTTTCAACATGTTTTATCATATTAAAAAAATTTAATATATTTTTAACTTTACCACTATCAAATATATTTACTTGAAACATAAAATATTATAGTATTTAATAACCTTTTCAGGCATTTAATAGGAGTACAAGGACAAAGATAAATTTATTAAGGTGTCTTATAAATGAAAACAAAACAAATACAATATCTATCTACTAAATAAGACTAAAACTATCACTAGATGAGTATATATATGTATCCTCCTCATCTGATCTAACTATTTACCTCATTTCTGTGTGTATCCTGTTATGAAATTTTAGGTTTTCTTTTCATCGAATGAAATAAAATAAATCGTATGATGAATAAACGTTCTCGTAGTAGAGTGACATGAAAGCTTCTTTCCAAATGAAAGAGGTAATTTTTTGTTCAACATTTGAAAAAAAAAAATGAAAAAAAAGCCAACAAAAACATAAGTTTATTTAATGCAGCAATGCTATGAACAGGGTAATGCGTGTGGACAAAGTTACGTAAAACTTATGCTAATAAAAACAAGAATCAATACGTTTTATCGTCAGATTACATTTTTTAATTCCTTTTCCGCTAGAATACCAAGTCTTAAACAACTAAAAAAAAATGTATTGGATTATGAGATTACTCCAGTTTCAAGCAATACGGCTCCAAATGTACTTTCAAATCCCCCACCTGTTGCATTGAATATAGTCTCATGATCGGTGCTCAAGTGATATATGTTACCAATTTCTTTATTTCTTTTTACCTTTTCATTTGATATTACAATTTAAAAGGAATGGCCTCATTCATCTTACTCCTTCAGCAAGAAGTTCAAATTACATTTGGGGCTAAAACCTAAAGCCTCCAGGAAAGACTTCATCATTAATGAAGAGAAAAATAACAAGTTCTTATTGTCAATATGGTGATGAATTTATAGGAAATATTTCATTTTTCCAAACAAATTGAAATCTGAAAGAATGGAGAATTGGTTCTCAATGTCCCAGCATCAGCAAGAGAACTGCATGTAATCTGTCCATTTTTAGTCCATTAGTTTGTATCGTTTCTCTTGTACTCCAGTAACGCCCATTTGTATCTCTATGATCGTATGAAGGGGCACCTGGACATGAGCAAATTCCTGTGTTAGACATCTTTTGCAGTTGCAAGATTTCATCGAAACTAATGCCAATGTTCTTCAAATTGAAACCATGAGTCTCACACAAACAGCCTAAAACATATTCCAGTACAGCAGTGAAGGAATTTTCAGCCCACTTAATATGCATTCATCTATTGAGAACAAAACAGTACTTATTTACTATGAATCTGACAATTACCTCAATATGTGGAATTTCTTTCAGAGGCCTGTCAGCAAAATAAGCATATAATGCCCTCAGAACTGCCTGCAATGGGAAAAACATAAGAGTTCAGAGATTATATAACTAGGCAAC